TCTAGGTCCAAAGTGACTGAAAATGACCTATAATGTATCAATGAATCCCATGGCCTTCCAAACATAATTAGCTTTTGACCCTTGAAACAAACTTGTAGAGGACGTCCCAAATGACATTCTAAAAAAGGAACCAACCTCAAATGTTGAAAATTAAAAGAGTTATGATCCTTGAAAGTTGGAAAAACTCACTTGAAAATGTGCAAAATTTCACTAAATCCCCAAAGTGACCTATAATGTCTTCAAACTTTTTTTGATCCTCCAAGCATAATTGGCTCTTGTCATATAAAGAGAAGTTCTAGAGGATGTTGAGAAGAGTCATATACAAAAAGAAGCATTCAAAAATGTTGAAAATTGAAGGGGTTGTGATCTTTTAAACTTTGACTTGCAATGTTGATTTTTCTTGCATTTCAAGGTACATGGATGATCATACAAACTCAAAATAATGTGCACTTGAATGTTCTTTGATTAAATTGACCAAAGCTTGAGGTAATTTGTTGATGAAGACATATAAATAAACACATGAACCTTTGCCTTTTATTGAGAAACAAGCAACAAAACTTTGAGATATCCTTGATTAAAATGAAATTTGGTGATACTTGAGGTCAAAAATTTTGAGATTAGAGGCCATGACTTGATGAGATAGCTCTTGGGAATCAATGGTTGGGCATACTTTGACTTGAGGGACCAAAACCCTATCTGAGGAACCATGCTTGATGTTTTTGATACAAAACCTTACCTTGTAAAGAAACACAAGGGACAAAGCATATGTTTTTGATATTTTGATTAATGATTAGTGAAACATAAAACATACAAACACAAATGAAAAGATACAAAGAAAGGTGTTTGGTGATCTCTACAAAGACAAACCCAAGGATAAAAGGGCTAGAGGAGAACCAAATTTGTGATCTTGATGCATTGTGAAGATGCAAAGGGAGTTGGATCTTAGGGTTAAAAATTAGGGTATGACAATATTATACTGTGGCAACTTGAGTGCTATCAACATTTTTAAAAATCCCTTTCAACATAGTAGGACAAAGCATATTGATATTCATCATCATTTTATTAGAAATCTTGTTGAGGATAAAATTGTTACTCTTGAACACGTGGCTACTGAGAAGCAACTAGATGATATCTTCACCAAAGCTTTGGATGCGAATCAATTTGAAAAGTTAAGGGGTGAACTGGGAATATGCATTTTTGAAAAATTATAGCAATTAGACTTGCTTGTGCAAGAGACAATGTAGAGGAAGGTGTTGGTGCTGATATTTCAAATGTCTTTATTGTTGTCTAATTTATGGCTAAAAAGGGGGAGTAATAATGGATGTTTGGTTGGTTGTGGTAGTAATTTTAATTTCAATTGCTGCTGTTTAAGATGGTGTATGAAAAGAGGAACATGAGTGTGACTTCTCTTACTCTGTGGTTTCTTCTAAGTAGTATGTGTTTGGTGGTGTTGGGATGTCTTACTATCTGTCTTGACATCATGTCCTGTTTGGGATAATTTATTTGTCTATGCAGAATTTTTGTGTGTGTAGCACCCGTGTGCTTGTGCCTGTTTTTTTCTTTAAGTGGGAAGTGTAATGGCTGCTCTCTTGAGGGGGAGTAAACGTGGTTATGTGTGACAGGGGGAATGTTATCTGTATTTGAATTGATGATCATGCAATTCACGGGGAGTATGGTAGTATGGTGTTTTTTGTGCATATGTTTGATATTGTGATGTTAGACTAGATGCCTTGACATTGTGCTTCATTTTTTGGGAGGTTCTTGGTGTGTGAGAGTTTATTTCTCTCTGAGTGTTGTATTATGTGAGGCTGGGGTTATACCTTATTTCTGTTGCGTGTGCCTGTATTTTTTGTTCTGGTGTTTTTGTTTTTGTGTGGTTCTTGCTTCTTTTGGGTTGTTGTTGTCGTGTTTGTTTCTGTTTCTCCAGTATTTCATGCAAAGGTTATTTTAGCCAAAAAAAATTGAAGGGTGTAAGTTCTGTGGTTTTGGGATTGACAACAATTTTGATAAAACAAGTATCACAGTAGGTTGTTGAGCAAGATGTCTTAACATGTTGGCCAGACATCATTGATGGCCAGCACAATCTCGTGACATGATGTCATGACATGTTATACCAGAAGATTAGAGTTTTACTTATTTGAAAGATTTAGTTTTAAAGTGTTAGATTCTATTTGGTTTTAGTTCACACTTTGTCGCAATCTAAGGAAGGTTATTTTAGGAAATCAGGTTCTGTGCAAGAAGTGCATTTGTTTCATAAAAAGGATTTTGGAGACTTTTTAGGAAACTTTCTATTTTGTTTCTATTTTCATGCAGAAGATTGTGCCGATTATTTGTAGCTGATGTTTTGGATTTGCGCCCAAACCCATGCTGATCAAAAGATATTTAAATGCATGTTCTAAACCTAATGCATTATTGAAGTCGTGTATTGAAAAGAAGAATTTTTAGGGTTTAGTGTTTTTTGTTATTTGTGATCCACTCTTATATCACGTTGATATTAGAGTTGGACTGTGTTATTTGTGAGCCATTCATGTACCTTTTGAGTGCTTGAATTGAACTGTGTTTGAGTTGTAATCACTCATAACCTTTTAAGAAATAGTGAATTTTGTGTCATTGAAAGTGTGTCTCTATTGTTCATTGTTATTGGTTTATCATTGCTGTGTGATTGAGGGGAGTGAGAGGTGCTCATATCTAAGAGTTATTAGACAGAAATAGCACGGGTAGTGATTAGATGCGAAGTTTGTAAAACCAGAGGTTGTTTAGAAGTTCAAACTAATACTATTAAAGTGAATTTCCTTCCTGATTTTAATTCCCGCAGATTTAGGTGATGTTTCTTCGAACTGGGTTAACAATTTGAATGTGTTATTTACATTGATTCATTTACTTTAACTGCATAATTGTTTGTGGTGTTATACTGTCCTGATCTCAGTGTCGTGACATCTTATTCAACATCTGGTGTCTGACTACCAGAATTTTAAATTGCAATTTTATATTATACGATTTTAATATTCCCTCTCAATCTTATATAAGCTCTCGATTCTGACAACATTGCATGTATGCACAACGAGTCTAGTTCCTTTTTTTTTTCAAAATTTTGTCAAGTATAATCTCTAAATTCGAATCTCTCTTTAAAATTTTCTTATGGGGTTGGGGCTCGAGTGTTAGGAAAATTAATTGGTAGAAAAATGGGAGTGAAGGATTCGTACGAAAAAAGCAACTTCTGGTACAATCCATTAGAGTGTAAATATGGTGCATGCAATGGTAGTATTATTAGAGAGGATAGGCAACAATCAATTTGGTTGAAAGACCTCAAAATTATTGAGAATGGATTGTGAGGTTTTAATGTGAACTGGTTCTCAAGGAAGTTAAACTCTGAAGTTAGAAACAGAGAAACTGTTTGGCTCTGGGATAGAAACAAATACTCGGTTAAAGATATGGTGAAATTTTGGGAGGAGTAACTTCGGAAAACCATAGATCTCTTGCTATTGCATGGAACAACCTGGTTCCATCTAAGGTAGGAGTGTTGGCCTGGAGACTTTTTTAGAGTAGACTCCCTTCGAGGGATAACTTCACTAAAAGAGGCATCTTGAGTGAGTCTCATTCCGAATGTACGGCATAATGCAAAATGGCTGAAAGTTCGCCTCACCTCTTTTTTGTTTGTCCAATTTACTCCGCTGTGTGGCAGAAAATTCTCTCTTGGCTAAATATTTCAGCTGCTTTGCATAACAATGTCATAACTCATTTAGATCATTTTACCGGACTGTTAGGCATGGGTAGAGTGAAGGACAACGGATTCTCTATTATTTGGTTTGTTTGCATTTGGGTTGTGTGAAAGATGCGTAACGAAAAGATTTTCAGAAACTCCAATGGGTCGTCCGATGCTTGGATCGCTGAAATTCAAGTGTTGGCATTGAAATGGATAAAGACTAAGTTTAAAGGCTTCAACTATCCCTTAAGTCAATGGATTACGAATCCTTTGAACTGCTTATGATGTCCCTTCCTCGGCGTTAATGGTTAGTTTGAGGGCTTCCGGTTCTGTTTTTGTTGGTATGGTTGCTCCTTGTATTTCTCTCGTTTGCTGTTGGCAGGCCTTTGCAGTTCAGTTTCATTGCCTGTAGTTGGAATAGATTCAGCTTTCAAGTTCGGGTGTTCAGGGAGCTGATCGGCTTATAACTGCTCTCTGTCTATTGGAGTTCATCTGTGTTTCAGCTGTGTTCAAGATCTCGTAACAGTGGACACTCCATACTATTTCCCCTTCCTGGTGTTGCTGCAGAATTTTGGCGTCTATTGCGGTCCTCTTATTTTTTCGGTACCGCTCCCACGATGAGGTTGGGTGGTAACTGTTTTCTCAGACAGCTGTTTGCGTATTGGATCCTTCTTTTTCTATTTAACCTGTGCTTTTTGATCTGGTGTAGCTTAGCTTGTTCTGGTTTGAATTTTTTTCTCCTGCACTGGTGTAACTTATTCATGTTCTGACTTGTTTTGAGCTGTTGTACTTTGAACTAGTTGTGACTCTTGCTCTCATTCTGCAGCATTGCTTATGCTCCTAGAATGAGTTTTAATAATGCTATTTTTGCCTTTTAAGAAACAGTTTTTAATGACCAAATTAAAATATTTACTCGTGTTTCAATTGCAACCTTGAGGGTTTGTTTTTTATGTAACCTTGAGGGTTTTGTTTTTTATGTTCTTTAAATGCTTCCACAACCAGATTCGAATTAACAATAGTAAAAAGATTCGAATTAACATTCTCGGAATGATTACAACAATGAGTACAAACCAACCATAATTCTTAAAAGATTAGGGAACTTTTTTTACATCCCTATTACATGTCAATTTTTTGTGCCAGAAGGCAAACAATACAAAAAAGTGGCGATTAATACATATTGACATCCACATAAGTACACATATCTAACAATGTGAATAGAAAATTCACAACAGAAACAACAATTCATTTCATCTGAGAAAAGCACACAAACAGAACAACATGACAAGATCACTCAGTTTTACTGCTCATCCCATTCGTCATTCTTGTATGATACAAGTGTGTCAACCTTGTGAATCTGTATGACCAAAACAAGTATTACTGATAGCCAATTTTACCAAAGCTTGACACTAGATAATTAACAAAAATGGTAAGCCCAAAACTCACCTTAGTATCAAAGGAATGCAATTTCACCATTTGTGGATTTTCAATCAGCTTTGGATCACTCTCAATCCAAGTGAATGGAACTGCCACGTCTGTGTCAGTATATGCTAACACATCAAAAACACCTGAAACAAAATAGCCAAGCTCAATTAGAAGAAGATTAAGAAAAGAATAAAAACATAAAGAAGCATCAGAGAGTAACGGCTCTTGCTCCTGATATTCGGTGCAGCTTACATGGTTCATCCAGGCATGGCAGATAGGTGATACTAGAAGCAATCTGCCTCATAATGGCTTGTATCTCTCTCATGATTTCCTTGTCACTCTTCTCCCTTGACACACCCTTCTCAACAACCTCGTTATCCGTCTCAATGCTGAAGTTCCACCTTTCAAGAACTTCACCAGTAGACTTGCTCATTATAACAAGAACAATCCTCTGTAACTTGCCAGCTTCAAGCCATTCTTCAAAATTCAGACAGTTCAATCATCAGCAACAACCCATAACGACCTCACAAAAACAACCATTAACTCTAAAATGAAATTTGAGTAGATATTGAAAACACAAGGAAGAATAAGGAACTTAATAGTAAATATCTAAAATCACTATTATTATAAAAAAAAAATGACTATAACATTCCTAATTCTTTATATATCATAAGTAATCGTCACTTGTTCTAAAAATGACCTAATTTCAATTTTTGTACCGAATTAAATAGAGAACCATAGCACAGTAACAATAGAGTTAAAGAAATTAGGGCTTTTAGTTACCAGAAAGCTGAGCAGTTAAATTGGTTATAAAAGATTTAACACCCTCATCTTCAGTAAGCAACATTGGAAGGCCATATTTCTTCACCTTCACAAAAGTTTCTTCTGGATAAACACCTCGATTGTAAAGGATACTGAACAAGTTCCAAGTAAAATAAAATACACGTTAATCAACAATATCACAAAATTTCAAATCACATAACTGCAATGTACGATAAAGAGGATCAAACAAACCTGTTTGCAGCATATCCTGATTATTGAAAAAAGCACAAAAAAAAAAAGAAAGTAAAATCATCGATAAATAACTTGCTAGACTGAAAAATACTAAAATACATAGAAATGAAAGAAGATGAAGAAAAAATTGAGTAATACCGAAGAACTCGCTAACGATTGCTGCAGAACCGCGAAGAGTGATTATGTCTTTGGTAACTGTTTTAGCGGCCATGGTAGGGTTTTAGAAACTAGAGTGTGAATAGCGTTTTTTAACGAAAAAACAAGAACGTTGATGCGATTCGATTTAGGGATTGCGATGATGGAGTAAAATGGAAGAGTAGAAGAGTTAGAAGAATGAACTGATTCTGAAGAAAGGATAATGAATTAGGGATTGGAGTGGAAAGAAAGAAACTTGTAGGGGAAGCACTCTAACGGCTAGTTCTGATTTTTTTTGGGGGTATTGGTATTTTGTTGATTTTGGATTGACAAGGCAGCGTAAGTGCGTTATTATTTTGAATTTGCTTATTTAACGGTCACGATTTGGAATCGCCTTTTTGTGATTCCCTTTAAGCTTGAGTGGATGTGCACGTGCGATTCCTTATGCACACGTGTTTATGTGGGATTTCTTATAAAAGTTTTTTTTATAATAAATTTATGTGCTCATGTTGTCATAAAAATATTAATGCATTTGTACCTCGTAAACTAAAATGTTAAAAAATTGCAAAAATATCTAATAGGTTGAAATTCATATTCAAACTTGCAATAGGTTTGAGCTTTTTCCGTTAAGACTATGTTTAGATTTATTGAAAATAACGAAACGGAGGGAAGCAGAATATAGTGGATCGGAATGAAGCAAACTAAAATGGAATATATATCTCATTTCATTGTTTGATTATTTTATTAAAAATATCATATTCCATCCCTTACACTCTAAATTAGATGGAGCAAAAAATAAGAATTTGAATAGAACAAAAAATAAGAATTTGAATGGAATGAGATGAAATAGATTCTATCATATTCTATTCCATTCCATCATTTATTTGCATATTTAAGAAAATAGAATCACATTAATTATCACTCCACTCCATTACATTTCATCTCATACCTAAAGTGTTTTTTCAACTAAACTTTGTGGTTCAAGAATATGTATATCTTTAAAACATCACATTGAAACATTTCATCACTTTTTATATTCATGTTTGATATATATAACATTTAGCTTCCCAACTTAATAACTAATAAACAAAATACAATTTTATTTAAATAGAATGCCACTTCACAATTCAAAAAGTTTGAATGTTATTTCACAATTTTTGACTTAATATTTATTTAAAATAACAATAACAATATAGAAATAATATTACTTTTATTATCATTTTATTAGATAGATGATCTAATCATATGTTATAGAAAATTATATATATATATATATATATATATATATATATATATATATATATATATATATATATATATATATATATATATATATATATATATATATATATATATATATATATATATATATATATATATATATATATATATATATATATCATTAGACCAACTATCTAATAAAATATATATGTATATAATTTTCTAAATCATATCATTAGACCAACTATTCAATAAAATAATAATAATAACAATACTATCTCTATATTACTATTGTTATTTTAAATAAATATTAACTTATTTATTATGACTACTAAATTAATTTAATTTAATTTAATAGTAATACTATTAATTTCATTGTGTCTAACACTACATACTTCTGGTTAATTACTATGACACCCCTCACTTAAAATTATAATATTTTAGGGACATTATCCCATACCCAAGGCTACTGATCTTACCAGTTGATCAGAACCTAAGGTGGGGCAAAAAGAATCGTCAGTGATGCTGGATGTGAAAGAGGATGGGGAGGTGTACCTGCAAGGCACTTCGTGCTAAAGTAAGAGAGAGAGAGAGAGAAAGAGAGAGCAAATATAAAATATGAGTAATTCAGGGTGAATAATGAATATCTAACCCTCTCAAGTGAAAGGGTTTATATAATGCCCCCAACACTTGGCCATTGGTCCCTATTTTCGAAGCGAGATAACCGTTTCCCGAAGAATAAGTAAGTGCCAGAACTAGCTATTGTAACGGGCAGACATGCCCATAACTAACCGTTACCACGGGCAGGGGCGTAGTTACGGGCACAAGCGTCTTGGTTATTTCTGGATGTGTCGCGGTGAGAATCGGATATCAAATTATTGGATTAACTTGAATCTTAATTCATTATTCACCACCGGTCTTTAATTTGTCCAAAGGAAGGGAAACAAATCGAATTACCAGAAGTATGCAATGCAAATGCAAAGCTAGTGAATCTAAGGTTCGGGGTTGGTTAAACTTAGGGAAGGTGTTAGCATCCTAAGAATCTGTAGTACTCTACAGGAACCTCTTGTTTGTATGTGATATATGCTATTTATCTGTTTAAGGTATGCTAAAGGGTTGAAGGAGACCTAAGGAGTTAGTTCTAAGTATATTCGCCAATAAATCGCATCTTGTGCCTACGTATCCTGGGTGGGGGATGGAATCAGAGTATTCGTAGTTCCCCTCAAAGAGGAGTGAGGAACTTCTTGACTGTGGTTAAGGTTCCAAGGGGAGGTAAGTATTCATAGTGAAATACTTACATGGAGTGCGGCGACTTCGATTCTACGTTGAGAAGTTAAGGTAAGGGGGAAGGATTAGAATGGGGAATTGACATGGCAGTCACTGAGTGTTCATTTCCTTCGGAATATACAGTTAGCAACAGAAAATTAAGGTAAATTCTTAAATGATACAAAATAGATAACAATAATGGATGTGTAAATAGACACTCAAAATACAATATGTTACGACCTCGACAGATGCCTCAAGGGTTTAGCTCAAATGAAAAATGAGAAAAGTTAAACTCAGATTAATGAAATTGATTAATTTTAATGAATAAAGGTGAAAAGTCTAAACCTAAAAAAAGTTATAAAAAACAAGAATATCTAATATCTTAATTTTGTTTAAAATTAAATCAATGAAAATTAAAGAAAGATTAATTAATAAAATACTTTCTAAATAATTTAAATTCTAGATTAAAAAAAAATCTAAAGTATTCTAAATTATTTTAATTCTAAAATTAATCTAAATTATCTAAATCAATTAAATCATAAAGAAATCTAAATTATCTAAGATCTAAATTATTTAAAATCATTTTTGATTTAGTTTTTGTTATATTTTTATTTTTACCAAGATTTAAATTAATTAAATTATAAACTTTAATAAAAAATCTATTTCTACTTTTTTCTTTTTATGATTTGTTATTTTTTTATTATTGTTTTTAATTATATTTTTAATTATTTTTTATTAATTTATATAAAAAAGATAAACTGGGCCCAACCCACAACCAAATAACAAAAAAAAATGAAAAAAAGCAACAAAAAATAAATAAAGCAAATCGGTTGGGCCGGTGAGGGACCCGGACCCAACCCGCTAACAAAAACAGAAAGGAAGGGTTTTGGAAACCCTAACGAAACGGCCACCCTCTTCTCCTCTTTCTCCCTCTCTTTTCTCTCGTTTTCTTCCTCCGTTCTTCTTTCTCATTTCTTTCTTCTCCTTCTTCTTCTTCACCGTTTATTTCTTCCTTCTTCTCCCTCATTCTTTTTGCCTCCGTTCCTTTCTGAAGGTAGGAAAAACACTTAGAAGGGGGGTTGAATAAGGGTTTCAAAAACAACTATGATAATAGAAAATGACAAGTTATTTTATCCTGGTTCGTTTGAACTCAAACTACTCCAGTCCACCCGGCCAAGGTGATTTTGTCTTTCTCAAACAAGGACTTAATCCACTAAATCAAAATCTGATTACAGTGATATCACTAAGACAAACTGTCTTAGTCTTCTCAAGAATCCTGACTACAACTTGGTCTCTCAAGGAACTTTTACAAGGATGAAATACAATGTGTTTAAGTGCTTCTAAAAAGCTATTATCACAACTGTGATTTTTACACAAAATGAAGAACAAATAAAACAAGTATGTTTATTGAATAAAGTTGTTTGAATATGTTCTTTGATTGTTTTGTATTCCGTCAATCTTGAAATGATGTTGAAGACTTGCTTAAATAGACTTCACATCCATTTCTCAAATAACGTGCAGATGTTGCCTTTTGCCTTCTTTGACTTTTCCTTCACAGAAGAGGAATGTTCAGACATATCCTTTTTGTCTAAATTCCTGTGCCATACATGAGGAATAGTGTCGTTGGTAGACATTGGGTTTAGCAACGAATCTTTCTTTGAACAACATCTTTTCAAATGAACAAATATGAAAGTAATACTTGCATCAGATCCTCTGATGTTGTTCCTTGTTCTTCTTTATCAAAGTCACTCTATCCAGAGTTATGCAGCAAAGTGCTTAACGTGAATGAATGATCAGAGTTGACTTGATTCTCAGAGCCTCTGTAGGTTGCAGCGTTGAGTTCTCACAGAGTCTTCTGAACATACTGAATCTTTATACTCTGCGCTCAGAGTCTTCTGTAGATAGCGCTTCAGAGTCTTCTGTAGCTTTGCTCAGAGTCTTTTGTGCTGCGCTTTCTACGCTCAGAGCTTTGCGTTATATAATGTTCAGAGGAATTTTTTTTGTCTTCAGATGAATATTTATTTGATATCTGAAACAAAAACACTTGGACAAAATTAGAGTATATATTTTCTCTATACAAAATTTCATTAATGTTATCATCAAAACATTGAGATATATTAAGAACCAATCTGTGTTCTAACAATCTCCCCCTTTTTGATGATGACAAAAACTATACAAAATTTTGTTCAAAACAAGAAAAAAATATATATCTCCCCCTGAAATGAATACTGCTAGAAAAAATAAATACTTCCTTTTCAGCACTTGTATTCTTTTCAGAGTCAGATCAAGCTTGTGGACTCTCAGAGATTGTTCAGAGTTACTTCTATGAATGTTGTCAGATGAATAGTTATAGCTCTGAAATACTGAATATATGATCAGATATATTTTAAAATGTCTGAGTTGCCATTTAGTATCTGTTTATGTGAACTATCAAAATTTCAATTTTCTCCCCCTTTTTGTCATATCAAAAAGTGATTTTAAAAAAAAATCATTTAAGACAAAAATTTCAGAGTAAGAAAACAAATATAAGATATAAAACAGAAGGAACAATCACATATATATTGATAAGCTCAGAAAATAGCCAAAAAC